TTTAGGGTTTAGGGTTGTGTGTGTGTGTGCTTCAGTATTGTATACTGCATCTTATGTGTGTTTATTGTATATTATGTAGTATATTGCATATACTCAGTATCTGCTATATATTGTATGTTACAAAAATAGTACATGCTTTTTTAACATATAGTGTATAGTATATAGTGTCCAGCTTACAGGATATAGTACATGGTAGTATAGTGTATAGTATCCTGTATACAGATACAGTACATACTAAGTAGTATATAGTATATGGTACATAGTATATAGTTTATAATTTATAGCATCTAGTACATAGTACAGTGTTTCGGCTTTCCCTGAAAACCCCAAGCTTGCAACCCAAGGGACGTAAGGTGGTTTTACAGCCCAGAAGCCCTGCCTCAGCCCTAAACCCTAAACCCTAAGCCTTAAATCCTAAACCCTAAACCCTACATCCGAAATCCTAAACCCTACATCCTAATCCCTAACCCTTAAACCCCAAACCCTAAACCCGTAGCCCCAAGCGCCTAAGCCGCGTCGGACGGGGTTTTGGGGTTTAGGACTTGAGGCCTCGAACAGTCGAGACCGGCCGTCGGCTGGTGCTGGGATTCTTCTTTAGGGTTTAGGGTTTAGGCTTCTTCTGAGGTTTTCACGGTTTAGAGTTACTGTTAGGGTTGAGGGTTTGGGGTTTCGTCTTCCTCTTTGCTGTGTTATTGGGCCGCATGCTTACATCTACATCATGCACACATATATATATATATATGTATATGTATGTGTATATATGTTTATTATGTATACAGTCATATATATATATATACATATATACATATATATATATATACATATACATATATATATATATATGTATACACATACACAGCACCAGAAGCACGCACGTAAACAATCCAGCATCCGTTATGTTCATAACATACTCACCGATTTCCGCAGCCGAGTCCGTGATTCTGCAGCCCTGCCGTTGACAGTAGTTTTCGCATCAGCATTAATATAGGAGCCTAAATAATTACGTACCATAACTATAGTCTATAGTACAATGGGCCCCAATTATTAAGGCCCCTACATTAGTCTGAAGAGCCATGGAGCTCTGAGCAGAAAGTGAAAATCTCTTGACCCGAATCTTAGCTGACAGAAGGCGAAACACTACAGCCACAAAACAGACGGGCAGGCACTAAATATTAAACCCTATGCCAACCCCAAACCCTAAATCCTAAAGCCCCCTAAGCGATACCCTTGCCATCCTTCGCCGTAACTTAAACTCCCCTATAGAAGCCCTAGAGCCCCAACCCCGATAACCTTAAACTCTAAATCTCTAAGGGTCCAAGTACCTAATAATCATATACTCTCCCAAATAGTAACCTACATAACTACTATCCGAAACCTAAGTACCTGATTCTTGGGTCCTCTGGACCCTTGGGGTAAATCCGAAGCGACTGCCTTGGAGCCCAAAGCTCTTGTCATGGCGACGCTGAAGCGCGCCCTCATCGTGGGCCTGGGGAAGCTGAACCCAAAAGTCAAGGTCGGATTCTCGGAAGATAGGGTCAGAGTTATCAAGATTTTCGGTAGCTGGCATGGGGAATTCTCAAAGGGGAGCCCTCCAGAGGAGATGTTTGTCTACGGTTTGGGGCACACTTAACCTCGAGATTGTGTTTGATGCAGACGGGATTTACACTTTAAAGTATTTCGTGTTGAAGCTGGGAAACCCTAAACCCTAAACCCTAAACCCTACACCCAAACCCTAAACCCTAAACCCTAAACCTCAACTCGCCTTTATGCTCTTGACCAAACTTCTCCCGCGAGGAGCAGATGTCTGCATGGGTGACTGGGCTTGGGAGTACCATACTTTAATGCTTTTTTTTGGGACCTGTTCCTTAAAGGAGCCATTATGACATAAAAGGCTATACTCTTTTCTCCCTGGTTACTTCAAAACCCAGGTGAAACCGGAGCACCTGGCTTACCTTGGCAGCCTTACGAACGAGCAGCTCCAGAAGGAGATTGGTTGAGCAGGCGTACGGTACCTATAGGGTCATACCCTACCCCCTTTTTTAGTGTACCTACTTTTTCAGATAGCAGATCCTAACCATAAAGCTAGGTACCTCAAAGAGCGGTAGGGTATGACCCTTCAGGTAATAGGGAGTCACAGAGGAGAAGCAGCAGCGGAAGGAGCAGGAGGAGGCGGAGGAGTAGTAGCGGCAGCAGTGGTAGTGGCCGTGGACGTGGTGGTGGTCGTCGTCGTGGTCGTGGTCGTCGTAGTTATCCCTAAACCCTAAACCCTAAACCCTAAAACCCTAAACCGTAGTCATCCTGGTCGCGTTCGTGGTCTTGGCCGTAGCATGCCAGGACCTCGCTTCCATGAAGGTGTCTCTTGAGAGCGAGGGCATCAAGCTCGAAAGTGCACCTCGAATGTGTCACTGAGCCATCTTGTAAACCCTAGGGCTCCAAATAGCCCAAAGTAGGTACTATATATAGACTTTAGACCCCAAAGTAGGTACTATTTGTATACTTGGAGCCTCAGGGAAAGACTGGGTCTCTGCATTGCCGTCAGCCGTTCCACTCCTCGAGGTATTGCTGGAGGGGGAGATCGACGATGCGGGCATCCAGCGTAGTTGCAGCCAACTGCGAGACTCGCCGAAGAATTGAGCCATGCTCTTCCGGCCTAACATTTTTTCGAAGTGCTATTTCACTGAATCGCTGCTTTGTGCGCTAGAACTTGCCACGCTGCTTTGGGGGGTGCAGGTTTTTTTGGCGTCCCTGCTACATGGTGTGCCAAGCACATCAGAGCAGCCTAAATTGTTTGGGGCTTTACCGGCTTTACCAACCCGCATTTGTGCAAGACTGACTGCTCATCATCAAACCCACCCGAACCACTAGGTTTCCACAACCCTGAATCTCAAGGCCAACACCTGCAGACAGCAGACGCCTACGACGTCGTTGTTCTGGGTGCTGGCATTCGTGGGCCTTTGGAGAATCTAGTGCTGCTTCTTCGCCAATTTTCGGAAGAAGGTGTGAAGCTATGTAAGTATGTATGTCCGGCATTCTGAGGAGCACGAAGTGGCATTAAGGGATGAGGTCCGGCATTCACGGTCCGGGTTGAGAGTTTCGGGTTCGGCTTGTTTAACTTATCCAGGAAGTATTCAATGATGCGCATGGCGGCAGCTTTTGCAGCTCAGGTTTGAAAGCCTGATCAACGTGACACATCGAGATGCCCCAAGCTCCCGCATTGCTTTCAACACATACCCGCTGGACACCGCGGATGCCATCAAACGTGTGCTGCAGGCGAAAGAGGACGCGGGTGCTGTTCAACAGCTCGTGACGGTCGGCCCTACAGCCTCTGAAACCCTAAATAGACGGCAGCAGGGATCCAACCGTTGTGCCTGCCTATAGTCTCCATTGTGGTTCTTTTTTTTGGTTAAACCAATTTTGTATTTAGGACCCTTCAGGGAACCCCAAAGGAACTACAATGGAGACTATAGGTGTAATTAAGGGCTCACCAGGAGTGATGGCCACCTCGCGAGGAGCGGCGGCATTCAGTCTGAGAGCCCTCTTTCCGCCCAGATCAATTGTTGACGCAGCGTGCGACAGGACAAATGCCCGACCCGCAGGAGGGAGCATCATTACATCATCATCATCAGCAGCAGCATCACGGTCATCGTCATCGATGCAATCATCAGCACACATCCCCACTCATCACCATAAACGCATCATCGTCTGACTGGCACACCTTTATCATCATGCCCAGAGGATTGGCAGAATCATTGTCATAATCACCACCACCACGGTATCATCATCACCCTCATCACCATCAGGACCATCATCACCACCCCAACCGTCATCAGAATCTCACGACACATTTGCCACCATCACCGGTATCATCATCATCATCATCATCATCATCATCACAAACACCGTCACCAACTCCATCATCGTCATCATACTTATCATCTTTAGCATCATCATACTCCTCCTCCTCCACCACAGCATCATCATCTTCCTCATAATTATCATAACCATCATCATCGTCGTCATCATCAAGATCATCATCCGCATCATCACCATCATCGTCATCATCACCATCACCGTCATCTTCATCAATACCACCATCATCATCACCACCATCATTTTCTTCTTCATTTTCATCACTCATCATCATTCACCATCCGTCATCACCACTACCACCATCATCATCGTCATCATCATCATCATCATCCTCATCCTCATCCCCATCCTCCTCTTCGTCGCCACCATCACCATCGTCACCGTCCTCACCATCATCACCAGCAGCATGATGATGTTGGTTTGATGATTATGTTTTTGCTGATGGTGATGGTTACTGTGATCATCATCAGCAGCAACAGCCTCATCACCATCACCATCATCATCATCTTCTTCTTCGTCGTCATCATCACTGGCAACCGCAGTATTCACACCACCACCACGGCCCTCCTCCCCCTCCTGATTGAGATGGGCAGCAGGATCACCATCATGATGAGTCTGCTTGTCGTTGCCAGTCCATCATGCTTGCTACTCAGACTCTTCTCCTTCAGTGTATTGTTGTCCCCGTGTTCTTCTTGCAGGGACCAGCGGCCGCAGCTCCGGGCAAATTGCCTCCTAAAAGTAGAACTTGCTCACGTAATTTGCTGAGACGTATGAACTCAAAAGTATGTGGGCGGGGAAAATACTTCAGCAGGACGTCTGGCAATCTGCTTTGTGAACTTCCAGCAGTCTTCGTGCAGCCGATCCCGAGTCCGGCTGTACGAAGGGAGGGAACACGCCCCAGCGCCCGACAAATCGGGAGCCAGTCCTGCGAACTTCCCAAAACGGTTTAGGTTTAGGGTTTAGGGGTTCAGAAGAATGCCACTTTCAAGCGGGAACCTGTTGTTTTGGAGGCGCCGATCGTGGATTCGCCGTTCAAGGACATCTTCTCCATGTCTCCCTCCGCCCCTTCGGAGAGGCTCCTCGGACGAGGGTGGTTTAGTGTTTGAGGTTATTAGGGTTTAGGGTTTAGG